TGTAGGGAAGGATTGTAAGAAACTCTTAAGCATCCTAAAGCTGCAAGTGCTGGGTAGACTCATGTAAATCAGCAATCAGTGAACTTCCTGAACCAGAGGGTGCGTGTCCAGACTTTCGCACTTAATAACTGTAGATGGACCTGTCCTGCAGATAAGCATTTCATCTCACTACATACCTTTTGCTTCATCAGTATCAGTGGCAGTGAGTTCCAGAATTATGGATTCCATGGAAAGTCGTTCTTTCCTTTGATTTTTAAATGTACTGTCTAATAATTTCACTGGGTACCCTCTACACTTTGTTTCTCTTGTTTAACTTGTTTCCACTCTAATATATCTGCTGGTCTTATAGCAGTCAAAGATTTTGAACTTACTATAAAAGTTTTAAAAATCAACACTGTGGAGGGTCTTGGGATTCAGGCTTCTGTGGGTTTCTTGGTGCCAGGCAACCGTGCACCAAGCTGCAGTTAGTCCTGGCCCCCTATATCTAAGCAGATTCTCACCAGCTTCACTTCATTTCTAGCTTAAGCTGCATTGGAATCTATGCGTATATGTTTGCACATTAAAGACCAGCTTGCCCACCTGCAGCATTGTGTAGTCTTTTGACAAATGTATTTTAAAACCGTTAGAGGGGAAGTTCAGTATTTAAGTAGAGGTCTTGACTTGTCTTGATTACAGGAGAGTAAGTAAGAATTAGTATTTCTTATTCTATACACACATAGGAGTAATTAAAGTGAAGCTTTTGAATGATTATACTGGGGACTCCTGGTTCCCCACCCTTAAGTTCTCTTTCATAGGTGCAGAAAGAGTCACAGCGCTTTTTGAGGGGATGGGTGAGGAGTGCAGAGTACTGCTAGCCAGTGTGTATCTGCGCACACAGGCTGTATGCATAAACTTGGTAGCATGTAACAGATTAGCAGGGATTTATAGCAGATTCATACTCTATTTTATGGCAAAATGGAAGGGGGTGGAAACACTGATGTTGTGAGAGCAAATACAGTGTGTGTGTGTGTGTGTGTGTGTGTGTGTGTGTGTGCTCCTATGTGGTAGGTATGGTAACAGCCATTGTAGCCAAAAGAAGCAAAGTTTAAAACCTAAGCTTATTTTCCTCAAATTCAGACTTGGATCTGTCTCTCAGGCCGTTCTGTATCAGAGACTTGACTTATAATAAAAATTTGCATTTGCCTACACAGACACAATGTGTATGGTCAATCGTGGGTTCACACAGCACTGTGTATATTGTAGTTATATGTAACAGAAAGCAATTCTTGAATAATGGGGGCATGTAAAACACTGAAGAAATATGAATTTGCAGTTCCTTAAACCAGACTCTCTCCCTTTCTCTCTAAGGTGTTGAAATATGTTATGAACTGTACAATCCTCGAATCCAGGAGATCAAGGTTCTGAAATTAGAAAAGAGGCTAGACGATAACCTGATGTACCTGCGAGATGCTCTCCCTGAATATAGTACTTTTGATATGAACATGAAACCTGAGTCTCGTTTAGACCATGAAGAAATTCCTGTAAACAAGGTAGGAGCTTAATAGTCTAGAGGGAAAATGGAGGGTAGTTCAAGTAATTATTTCACATTTGACTGATATCTTGGGAGGCTGTTACAGTCCTTAGTTGCATTAGTTACGTGGGTGACAAAAATATATAAAATAAGGTTAGTCCTTATGTCATTTATATGGTGACTGAATGTTCATAACATAAGTATCTGGTATTCTCACTGGTTATTTTAGAAACCCAAGTGAGAAGCAGCCACTTGCATATGCCTACATGTTATGCTGTGCAGAGATTGCAGCTTTTGTTACAGAAGGTGTTTATTGATTGGGGTGGAAGTGTCAGAAAAGAAGGTAAGATCGGAGGAGTCGGCTAAAATCTTCATATTAGAAAGGATCCAGGAACCAGCAAACCCTGCTGAAGAGTTTTGTCTAGTAACTCAGTAACTTACAGGGAAAGGGAGAAGGGATTAGAATCGCGCTGCTTTTCTCTTCCCTCAATAAGGAACATGGCAGAACTGCAAAAGAGGAGTAACTTCACTGTCTGTATCAATTTAAGGACTGTGTAATTAATCAAGACTGTTATTTAGGATCAGAAAAATTAAAAGACAGTAAGACGACAGAGATGGACATCAACAAGTTCCTTCTCTCTTGACGGTGCCAAGTAGCACTTTTTCAAAAACTAAGTTACTGGCAAATTGGTCTGTTTTCTCTTGTTTTCATTTTGTTAGAATCAGCCAAAATTCTGATCTCTTGATATATTTTATGCATTTTTTTTACGCTTTTCACCCTAGCTGCAAGTAAGAATGAAACCTAAACCGTGGTCAAAACGGTGGGAAAGGCCAAAATACAATATAAAAGGAATAAAGTTTGAGCTACCTGAAGAAAAAATGAAAGAAGCACAGAAGTGGAGCCAGCCCTGGCTAGAGTTTGACATGCTGCGCGAATATGATACTTCAAAAATAGAGGAAAAAATCTGGAAAGAAGTGAATGAAGAGCTTAAGAAATAATACTATTTTTGTAGTCTATGAATTATTAAGGAAATTAATACATTCACTTTGAATTCAGTGTATGGGTCTTCAGCCCTTTTGTATATACATAGGCAAAGTGTACAATAAAGTAAATCTTTCTAGAAAATCTCAAAGTGTATAAACTTCTATAGTTGACCACTGATTTTGTTTCTGAAAACAAATACTCCTTTTTTTGAAAAATATAATACCATATTCATCCTTTCTCCAGAAATGAGAAGCCTCCTTTCCTAAATTACAGTAACAATAAGAGTTTACATCACTGATTCTCAAATTGTGTTGTCACTTCCAAATACTTCTGTAACTGTTTCCCCTGCAATGCTTAGCTCTGTAAAGGTTTCCTTCAGAAAGGGAAAAAGCAACATACTAACTAAACAACCTTCTGTTTGAAGATGGAACTTCTTTTCCTCACCGACTGTTTATTGCTTTGTATAGGATGACCTAGGTTTTTCTGTCTGGTAACCAGACTTCATGAGTGGGATGTGACGTGCGGTTGTTATACCAGGCATGCAAAGAGAACCACACATTCTTAGTAAGTAAGTCTACATTTTGCATGTATTTTGAAAAAACAAGAACTAAAGTAGATTATACGAGCTGTTACTTCCACTGCTGAGATTTTTACTTCTGCCATGTAAGTCCAAATCAAGCCCAGGTATATTCAGAATTAGGTTCTGTACACTGTTTGACTAAGTTGTTGGCTGTTCCCCTATCTCTTGCTTCTTGCCGTTGTTTACCCTTCCTTCTTGCTTCTCCTGTTTTCCTCAGTTGTTTTCTTTGCCCTGCTGCACTAGGCAAATCCTTTTTTTAAAAAATCAGTACCTCAGTTGTCTTTCCATCACACAACTGGCTACTACCCACTATGGCTTGACTAGTCTTACAGTCTCAGAAACAGGCTAGAGCAGGAAAGTAGAAATATACAAGACAAACAGTCTGAAAATGTGTGGCTTATTTTTTGCCTACAGCCAAAAACTATTTCTGCTAGAGAGTAATACTAATCTATGAACAAAGCAGCAAATACACACACTTTTGGAATCAGTTTTGAATAGGTGAGGCAGACTGCACATTGTTTAAGCAAAAGCATGTGAATTAGCAGAAGGTGCAGCAGCAAGCGTTCACAACATGGGCAGGGGAGGTTCTCAATGCCACTGAGGCTGGGACAGCAGCTGCTTCCATAAAATGATGTATTTCTATAGAAGTGTACAGGCATTCTGAACGCAAGTGGCAATTGCCTCTTCAAGCTTCTAAGTAATGTTTCTTCCATTTAAAGCAACATCTACAGAGCTAAACTGTGACAGAGTATCTATTAATAATTTCCCTAATAGTTAGCACAGAGGTCTCCACAGAAACCAGCCACATCTGAGATGAGACAGAGGCAATGAAGACACACACTTGGGCTGATCAGCTGTTGCAGTATTGTTGGCATTTTGAGAGGAAAAGCAACAAAAATTCACCTTTATTAAAAAACAGGATTTGTAATGGAATTCGTAACTGTCATAAAGGCAACTCAGGTAGCATTAATTTCTGTGTAATAACGAAAGCTACCAAGGAACACACTTGGTTAAGAATGTAGGTTGAGAAGAGAAACTACAGGCCCCTGGCTTCCAGTGTAAGCTTGGTGAGGAATCCCCGAGGTATAAAAGGAACCCGTAGATTTGTGATACTGAGAGAAACTCCCTCATAGCAAAGGGTCACCAACTTCACCCAAAGTACAGAAAGATGATTCCTTCAGGACACTACTTTTCTCTCATAATTCTTTAACACATTATGAGAATGTTATTAGAAATAACTGTTGGAAGAGTCACATGTTAACCATCAAAATATTTTTACTTGTTTTAAAAATAAAAGCAAACGAAAATTATGTTACAAGCCATCTCTTGTCTAAAACTTTGATAAAAGTTATTTACAATTAAAATATTTTACAAAAAAAATAGTTATAACTTAAAAAAACAATACAAAAGGGCACAGAGAACAAGTCTGCAAGAGTTAAATTATCGTCCCAGAAAATTTGGGGAAAATACAAACAAGTGCACAGAAACTGTAGTTCATCACAAGTTTTGATGTAATAAAGCATCTTTTTTATTCTTTAGTATAATACTTTTTACAAATATACAAAATTCTAAAACATTAAAATCTAATTTGGGTATGATGAAATACGATTTGGCAAATGTTACTGGGAAGCAAAAGGAAGACTCTCCTAGAACTTCAGTTACAGAACTGAAGTTGTTCTTGTGCTTCTTCTCAAGAAGTTTCCAGTCTATCAGAAGTCTGATAAAACATCATGCGTGGCAACTCCAGGTCTGTGCACAAAAGTTCAGTTTGCATCACTCAAGTACAAAACTCTAACCAATACACACTGGACATGATCTTCACTACAGATCATCCAACTAGGGAAATCTCTGTGGACCACAAGTTAGGACTCAATGATTGCTGAGACAAAAAGTGGTATTAAGCAACATATTGGAAATGCCTTGTAAAGTTGTCCACTGAATAGCAGTGCAGTGATCAACTTCACAGGCACTCCTCATGTTTCCTATAATCCTTCCAAAAAGGATAGAGTAATAATGCATTTTCATACATTTCAGAGGGCCTTAAACACCACTTTACTATGAAAACTGTAATTAAAAAAAAAAAAAAAAAACACACTCCTTAACTCAGGAGTAAGATGGCAGTTCAAGACAAACCTGGTAAAAACTGCTGAAGTATTTAACAAAAAACAGGGAGGTCAAATGATTACTGCTACATCTTTGAGTGGGCCCAGCCCACTCAATAAATTTAATATTAAACTATTGTAGTATGAATATCAGGCTTGTTTCAGTAATATAAATGCTGTTTCAAAAAATTCTATTTTTCAATTATGGATTTAAGGTGCTCAAGTTTGTACTGTTCAATAAAGTCTTCGACAATACGCAGAGCATTGACTTTCACCAGCAGAAGAATAACATCTTTTGTTTCATCCCTGTACAAAATAACAAATAAAAAGTTAGCATACTAACACATTTTTGCACCTGGCTTCCAAGTACATTTTACATTTATTAATAAAAAAAGTCAGCTATCTTTCCTTGGTCACTTTTCATCAGGTGACCTTTGCTACACTGAAAAGTAATGCTATCCAAACAAAGCCTAGAGCCTCAAATTATCAGGTTACACAAGAGCAGCACAAGTTTTTCACTCTTTTACATTATGGATTGCATCTTTTGTTTTAAGAGACCAAAATTAATCTAATCAAAATATTCAGTGTTTTGATAACTACACTATTTGCTAACATCTATTCTTGATTTGAAGAAGTTAAAATGCAAACAGAGAAACGTGACCTGGATAGTTACTACAATGTTTGGAAACATTTGCAATTCTCTTTTGTCACTAATATTCTGATAGCAGCGTCATGTAGGACTTCACATTGTCCGTGATCCAGTATCAGGAACTGGTACTTAATTCTTGGAACTGCACTTAATTCTTGTCTAAGTCTTGCCTTAACATAAAACAAACACACACATAGAATAAAAGGAAATTGTGTATACATTACAAAAGTTTGTTTGTTCATATATTGATGGCAAGATTATAAATGATGAGAGCACCCTTTACAGTGTAAAATTTCTGAGCCATAACGAATTTAAGAAATATTTGACACAAAGCATATCAAAAAATGTTGAGTCCCAAGAAATGCCATAGCTATTACCTGTGGTTATTCTTGTGCAGTGTGTGGGCACACTGCAACAAATGCTGGCTGAAGTTCACCAACTGGGGGAGAGTTGTTCCACTTCTAAGATGCTGGAACCATCTTTCTGGGAGGCATGCAACCACCTTTTCAACCGAAGCATATTAGAAAGAATTAAAAATAAATAAATAAATACCACACCCCTAGGTCACATCATTTTACTTGACAAGGATTTTTCCTTCTAGTGGATTCAGTTATCAGTAGTACTGGGGATACTGCTAAAGAACAAAACAAAACAAAAAACTAAGCCCAACCATTACAATACCATTACAAGTAGCTATTCCAAAAACACTTATGCATCAAGGTCATACAAGATTTTTCAAGTGTTGAATGATTATATTCCATTTTCAGTCTAGATCCTTCTTCATGAAGGAGCCTTCAGTACAAAACGTCTTCCAATGTATACATATTAATCTTTTACCTTATTACACTTTTCTAAGTTATCCAGCCCCGGTGGTGTGTTTAAGAGGTTCAGAAGAAGATACCGATTCAGCAACTTGCTCAGTCCTAAATCACAGACTGTATCTTCTTGTACAATTCCATCCCAAAGAAGAATATTGGAGAGCAGCTACATTAATGAAGAAACATAGAATATGCATACTTGGTGACTGGAGGTACGCTAAAACACAGGACTATAAGTTGGGGTTTTTTTTGTTTTTTTTTTTTAAAGAAAGAAGATCATATGAAGTCCATCCGATCCAATTAACATAAATTAAAAAACAAGATTCACTCTCCTCATACTTACTGTAATCTGAAAGCAATTTATTGCTGTCAGGTAGCCATTAATAAGCTTTACATAGTAAATAATTTTATCAAGTATAATAATTGATTCTACTGTACACTCATATGTGTATGTAACTTCCTGAGATAAGGAAGCACATTTTACCCTTTAACAAATTACTAAAGCTAAGGCCCAAGTACACAAAAAGACTATGCTTTATTCTTTTCACAGAAGTGCTAGCAGTCAAATCTGAAAGTAGGAAAAACAGAAGGAGCATTAAGACAACTCCTTACAAGGAACAGGGACCAGTAACAAGTGACATCCAATTGCAAGAGAACCCTTAAGAGAGTCCAAGAGAAAAGAACAAAAAGTTAGTACATGTGGTCAGGATGAAACTGCATGCAGTCCCTTATAACATGAGTGAGGTAAGCAGCCGTGGTCCGCAGCAGCACGAAGAAGAGATTTTTTTGCGTTATGTTTTATCTCAGCATTATTAGTAACCCAGGGTTTTTTATTCTGTTGTCTCTGTAAATCTTTAGAATTATAAATCTTTATAGTTATCACCATTTTTGAGTCTCGTGTAAAGAACTTGACTATTTTTGCCCTAAACTCAGAATAGATTCATTTCAAAGTGACTGGTAACCTCAAGATATTTTACCCCCCCAGTCACAGCATGTCATCTTTGAGGGCACCATTCAAAAAGTACTCACAAAGCCTAGCACCTTTACGTACTTCTCTGGAGTATTTGATATTAGGCTTCCATTAAAGTGCATGAGCTAACAACACAGATCAAAGAAAAAGCAGCACTTTCACTGACCAACGTTAATCAGTAAAATACACAGCATAGTAACAAGAAGCACATTTGAGCCCTGAGGCTACCTGCTATCTGAGGCAAATTAGACAATACCAGGGCACGAACACTATGCTTCATCTACGTTTTTACATTAGAATAGTTCCTGGCTCACTTATTGCTCAGGCCAATCAGTACTCTCCCAAACGATTCCTGAGCATGGTTTAAAGGCCATTCCTAATGAGCAGTCTAAAGACCACTACGTGTCTTGAAAGATGAGGTTTGATAGTATGAATGCGGGCTGCACAACGGCAACAGGTCACAGTGCCAGAGAACAGTCCCAAGCACAACTGAGTTACTAGTATAGATAGCGTGTCCCAAGCATTTAACATAGATGAGGGGCAGTACTACTCGGTGTGGGGAGACTGAACTCACACCTCCAGAAAAAGTGATGAGACAATCAGTCAACAGATATGCGGAGCAGGAACATCTTCACTGCTCCCCACTATCACCCCTTTGAAGGGTGATAGTGGCCACAGTGGCAAGGAAGACAGAAATCGCAGGCCAAAAGGCCAACTTTAATTTGCAGGGAAAGACCTCAGGTCTAACCTCCAGAAACATGTATGTATTTGACACTATAGATTTTTCTTAGGCAAAAAGTGTACACAATCCTACAAGGTGGGACCGGAATTTTAGGTATACCCTGTTGTCTTCACTGAGCACCCAAACCATGAAGTGTTACGCTCCCTCTTGCCTGCTCTTCCTCTGGCCACAACAGATTCCTGCACAGCAGCTCACTCCAGCAGCAAAGGTGGCAAGTTCTTTGCCAACTGTCCTCAACATATGTAACTTCTCATGCTTTTTCACGGAATAGAAGCTCAAGCCTATGCAGGGCTAGGCATCCTGGAAGGCAGGAGATTTTAGTGTTTTTTAATGCATCTAAACCCCACCTTCAGGTAAGAATCCAAACCTGTCCCTAGAGGAAACACATTGAAGTGGAAATGGAATCAAGTATTCAGAAACTCCCACCTCAGCATCCTAAAAGTAAAACTATGCTGCCGTGATTATACGAACATACAATGGCTATAGCCTACATTAAGAGCAGCATGCGCACAAGTATGCACGTACTGGGGAAACAGAACCTTTTAGCAGAGTGACTAACAGGTCTGAAGGCATAAAAGTCACCAGGTCTGGCTGGCCCACTCAAAAAAAGGGGAAAAATAAAAATAAAGAAACAAATAGAAATAGGTAGTTCCATCAGAGACATTTGCAGAAGATGTATCAGTTGGGTAAACTGAAAGATATGTATGCAAAATGTTCATTCACAGTTCATTCTTAAACCTTCACATGCAGGTTGTACAGAACACAACGCTCACTGGGGAAAAAACAGCTATCCATCCTAACAAAAAATGTATTATCTCCCAGGAATAAGACTTGCCTGAAAATATATTTCCTGGCTGACTGAAGAATATTTAAGTAAAGTGATTATCAAAACAAACTGGGTATATTTTCTTTACCTTAACAGCTGACCAAAACCGTCTTTCTTGGAATTTTGAACATGGTGACAACTTGTCTTCCACAGCGCTGGTCACAGAAAGAAGAAGAAAGGCAAAATAAGTTTTTAATTGTGTTTTTAAGAGAAGCACGCCAGGCAATTGATCTCTTAGATGCTAATGAATGTTAGTTTTGGATCTTTTTCAGCACTGACAAGCACACTCAGAATAAAGATCTAGGGGAAAATCTGTGAATTTGAGCCCATCATAATACAATTACTATAAAATAAGCTCCAATAAAATCAGGAATTGGAAACACTTGTGTCTACATTTCATGGATTCATATCAATACAGCATTGCTTAGAATCAAACATGCCACATGAGCTTTAGCAAAGCTCCTTAACCCCAAGTCTCTCAGAGAGTCTCACTAGTTCCTATCTCTGAAATAATGCCTACTAATAAGCATCGACAATATAAATAGTATTTTAGGAACATGAGAAATCAAGAGGAAAAAGCAGACCGCCTAAACTAACACAGACCCTTATATCTAAGTTAATATAACAAAACAGAACTGTGGACCTCCTTTACTAGAAAGTACTTAGTTACATGAGCAAAAAAAGCATTAAGTCAGTGGGGTTATTCCAGTTAGAACGAGTTCGTAAACACAAGTAAGTTTATGAAGTCTTACTTACAGTAAAACAGTAGAAGGCATGTCTGTTCCATTACATGTTAAACAGTGTCTACAGTATTTTGCTTATGTAATAAATAAGTCTATGTGGGGGAGAGAGGTATAAAACAGGAGAAAAACAGCCACAGAATCAGCTTACCTTTTAGGATACAGAGGAATAAAGACATCTTCCTCTATAGACTTCTTCATTCTTAGGACAACTTCACTTATCAAATCCTATTAAGAACAAAGAAAAAATTATTATTAATGTCTCCTCACAAGAAAAGAAGATTTCAGCTTTTGTTTATAACAAGTTCAGAGAGCTATTCAGTCCACCTTAAGAAATACAATATACTAGTTAGACATGTACAGCTGCCTTTTGTATACAACACAGATCATGATTATATTAAAAACAGCTGTGAACAGATCCCAGCTCTAGTTATCCGTAGGGGTCACCTAGAGAGGTTTTAAGATGAAGTTATTTCCCTAAACAAGGCCTTTTGATGAGCGTTATTTCGCAAGGCAACAGCAAAGCCATACAAAGATCAACAATAAAATAAGTTATACAGATAGAATTTTACAGCTTTTTATGATGATCCTATGCAAAAGGTTTCACCACAGCTAGATAACAATAAAATAAGTTATACAGATAGGATCATCATAAAAAGCTGTAAAAGTCTATGCAAAAGGTTTCACCACAGCTAGAATAGTATGGTAATGTTTTCATTGCCACGGCTTTGGCAGTCTCCTAGCAGCTCTTGGGTTTTGTGCTGCACTTTTTGTTTTTATCTGTTTGAAGCTCTGTTTTACCTTACTTCCTGCACAAACAACATCATGGATAATGTCAGTGGTACCACTTGACTTCTCGAATCTTGGCCTCAAAGCAACACTCCCGTTGGAAGGCACAAACATTTCTTTTCATATCAAGGGCCAAAAACGCCACTCTATCACCACTTTTATGCTAGAGAAACTCTAGATTTACATGAGAATAAAACCATAATCAGGCTACTAGAGCGCATCATAAATGACGTAACTGTACAAAGGTAATTGTTAAAGAGTACTAAAAGACTACTGAAGTAACCTTTTTCCTAGCTAATACTATCCTGTTGGGCTTTTTAAAATAATAAAATTTTCTTCTGTAAAGAAGAATAAGGAAGAACTGCTGTTTTTACCATTCTAGAACTACCTTATAAATATAAGCTTAAAGAGTTGACACCGGAGTATTACTAGCATTTAAACTCAAGGTTTGAAAAATAATTAAAAAGAAATCTAGAAATTCTAACTATTATTTTTGTAGAAGAGCAAAATTAGATCTTGTTTAGATTCTTCCTAGGTAAAGAGGAGCCAATTTCTGCCCAAAGATAGTCCCATCTCTCATCACCTTCAAACTTTTAGCGCTCAGATGATCCTTATTAACTGTTGAATTTTTCTCACCATAAAATGACAAAACAAACGAGCAATCGGAGTTAACAACTTCAGGACAATGTTCTAAACACACACAGCAGCACACATGAAAAGCACAGGCAACGCACCAAGTCCTTCCTTCCTTCCCTCCTCTCCTTGTCCAGTATCACAGTGCCTTTTACCTCTTTTGCTCGACTGTGTTCATTTTTGGAGGGAATTTGCTTTTCAAAGATGCTCTTGCAAAGCTGTACAAGGTTCTTCGTCTGTGAAGTAGATAAAGGATCCCACACATTCTTTATAAAGCCTGAAAAATAGGAATTTATTTTGAGCATGATATGCAAATGGTTATCTGCTCTAGTTTCAAGGCATTACCATACAAAATAAGTAAGTTTTTAAAAAGAATCTCACTTACAATAATCTTAACACGTGTCTACCTTAGCCTCGCTCTGCGGAAGAAGGTAACCACCACGTGTTGGAAACACCACTTCAAATTATAACTACGAATACTCGATGACTATCTTTTCTTCAAGGTTTGAACTGCCTACCTGCAATTTAAGACAACCTTAATATACCTGTAATTTTTGGAAGAATCGTTTTTTCAATCACTCTAGGCAAGACCGTTTTATCAGGATCATCATCCTCTTTCAACCCGGACATATTTTTGGCATCATCAAATTCTTCTATAGCTCTGAACCAGGGCATCTCTTCCAGCTCTGTGAAATTCTGCTGAAAGATCATTCCTATTAGTTGTGCAACTGATCAGAATTGATAGAAAAGTTCCATGCAAAAATACATCTAGTGCTACCACAGACATCCCCACTTAGCAATTTAAGTAGTTATCCAGTCACTGAACAGGTCAAAAGAGCGAATCAGGAAAACTAAACTAGAATTAGGGCTTGAAGGCTGGTGCTGTCAAAATGACTTCAAAGAACTCCTTTCTTGCAAGGGGTGTTGCAAAAAGGACTTGGGGTAACAGAAGAAAGCTATAAAGAGTTCCAGCCACACACTTCAACAAGTCTGAGAGCAACGTACTATCTTTCTATTAGAAAGATAGGAAGAAGTATTGATTTCTAATGTACTGTGCTATGCATAACTAGAAAGAGCTTACATCTCTTCAGTATTATTGCAACACAGACAAAAACGACATACAGAAAAAATGACAAGAAGAAATGGACTTTCTTCTTTCGCTTAGGGCACTTATCTGAGGTTCTGCTAAGCCTCCTACTACTCATGTGACAAAATTCCAGTGAAGAAGAAATCTTCACTGCAAACAGCGTGCTTCTGCTGAGACATACTTTGAGCTGCCACCAATACCCACACATCTCACCTATCAGCAAAGACACAAATGACAGAACGGTTCATGAAGATGGTAAGGTCCATAATAAGAGGCTTTACTGACTACAGCTTCAGTGTAGTAACCAGAACCGTAGGGGCCAACAATCACACACACACACACACAGTTTTTGAACAAAAAGAAGTATGCTGATGCATCTACCTCCAGAGGATTCCAATTTATTAAATGAACTCTGATCAGCGGATTTAAAAGCTTTGGCAGGCATAAACTGATGTAGGCATCACAGTAAGAATCAGGAAACTTCTCTTTCCACTCCTGGAATTTCAACAGGATTTTTCTGATGTCACAAAAATCTGCATGAACATCTTCAAAGATTTTCCTACTATCCTCTAATATATTATCTGTGGATAACATTCATTGGGAAGAAAAAGAAACAATCACAGCATTTACTGACATATCAGGTGAAGAGTTTATGTAGCTACAGGATACAAGAAATAGCTATATGATAATCACAGTTGTCATTTCTTTTACGTATCTGACACAGAAGAGGATTCTAAAACAGAGTCCGTGGAGAAACTGATTTCAGAAAGAGGAAAAAAAAAAAACCACACAAACTATTGGCACACGACCACAAAATGCAAGTTTCTTCATGAACTATTCCACAGATTTATATGGCCACCATCTTTCAAGATTTATACTATGGATTGCTATAACTTCAGACCTGAAAACCCTTCTGTTTTCTTCTATAGAAAAGATATTTTAGAATCACATTTAAAGTACTGGTTGTGCCTTTCCCCATCCTACTCAAGATAAGAACATCCTTTAATTTACTTTGTCTTCAGAAAACAAAACTGACTATACAAAACACACCAAGTGTTTTGCAAGACATCTACGTCAAGTAATGCCGGAAGCACTCTGGCATAATTTAACAGAGCTTATTTCAGATTGAATCAGGTATGAGTAATGCCACCATGGCAAACTCATACTGAAAGAAATCTACAGTCATACAGCTATAGCCTCCCTCCAAGTAATTAGTCAGGATTGCTTGGATGTATTCCCTTTCTACAGTACGGAACTAATATGCAATTCAGACACAGTATTTCTTCACCTTTTCTAAAATAGTTAAAAAAATCAGAAAGATAGAGGTTTTGTCCTAGTACGTTATATTAAGACGGTCACCAACCTTTGTTTTTCTGGAACTCAGTCATCTCTGTTGGAGGCAGCTCATCATCGCTAGACATGCCTTCATGGTGATCAACTTCTCTCAAACACCCTCTTGCTTGCCGTCTGCAAGTCCTGTATTTTGTAATGAACTCAGATTATTTATCCTTCCTCAGGTAGGTATGCAGGAGGAAGCTTATTGAAAACTAATCTATTTGACAGAAATTGGATAAATGACAGGAAACCAATCCAAAGTGCATTTATCTAAGCTATGGGTACATATACACGTCATGCTGTAATAGTTACCTTCGATGTTCACACATTTTCAAAAGCTGTGTCTTTTCATCCTCTTCCAATCCACCATTAGTTGGTTTGTCATTACTACCTATCAGTAGACAGAAACACACACAAAACACCACCAACAATAAAAAAAAAAATCATTGATTCTCATACATTTTCCTTCTATTGTTCATCATTTGGAAAACTTCCAAAGAAAAATAAAACCTCATGATCACAACTGTTATAGTCTCCAGTGTAAAGCACAGTAAATATATTATACTGCATCATAGTCAGATGTGGTTCTTTCCTTATAAGAGCTGGTTTTGACGACATTCCAGTGCTCACTGCCTTACGTAATAGGTTCCTAGCAGAGCAAAAGGCAAGTGTAAGGACTTCCTTTTAGTTTTTAAGCCAAAAATGAAACTATTTAACAAATTTGAACCAAAGTTACTCTAACAATGTTATGGATGGTAAACCCCCGATTCACATTATATCACAATCACTGCATTTAAATTTCAGGACCAGTCAGCTCCCCACTGCTACCGAGACAGTCGGTTAACTGTCTCCTGTTATCCAAGTGGCTGCTGTGATTGTGAGACCTAGATTACTCCTAGCCTGATTCTTCAGCCCAACAGAGAAGTAGGAGCAAGAAGCTGCTTCTTGTTGGGGCCATGCATTTGTATCAGTATCAGCAGGCTTATGCGTGCTCCATATACAAAAATCTGCATTCTACTACTGAAGCATTACAAGAAAAATGTGGCATTTCCACTATACTAAATACAATAAGGAACCCAAATAACATGGTAACTGAAAGCTCTGTTAATCGCATAAGCAAAGCCTCATTTGTTATGAACTTAAAGCCATTTCAGAGGCAACTACTTGCATGAACCACTACTCTCTTCTTAATGTCTGCTGGAAGTCTACTAGGTCATTTTATAAATCATGCATACTGCCAGTTTTCTTTATTCAGCACTTCATCTCGTATAGTCAGAAAACTAAATCTATTGGTAGTTATTGGAAACCAGTGCGTTTGGCCACCATCTTTCAGGTGCAGCTACGTGCACGTTGCTATTATTTGGATCTTAGTTTTGTCTGCACAGTTAAAAGGGTTTTTTATCTTTTGTTTGGGGTTTTTTTTGGTTTGGAGTTTGTTTTCGTTTTTAGAACAGTAGCTATAGATTCACAACACAATATATCAATGTAGAAGGAAAACGTGAGATGAAAAGACCAATTGCTTTGCCTATGGTGATTAAAAAGACCATTCTACTTGGGGCAAAACCCTTACACAAAAAGGTTTCTTTCCTCATGTCCCTCCCTTTATACAAGTGTAATCTCCTAACCTGAAAACTACATTTTGTGCATACACACACAGCCTTAAAGACATTCTCACATTAAAGTGATTTTGCCAGGTGAACACACTGCTTTTTCATACATGCACAAGCATGGCTGAATCCCCAGTGGCAGGCTTTGGCCAGCTTATGATCTACTAGAAAACTGACAGCATTTTTCTTTTTTAAAATATTGACAAGCAGTCAATATTTTAAAAAAAGCAAGTTGCCGAGTTGAATAACTCAAAACTGACTGAAGTATTTGGTCATGTTACATTATACCAGAGAAAAGAATATAACGGGGCTCACTGAGGCAATGCAATTTCAACTCAGATACAACCGAACACTCCTGCTGACGTGAGAAGGACAAAGTCCAAAGGTAAGAACAAAATATTTCATCCAAAAAGGTAACTGTGTATTTCTGTTCAAAGAGCAAGTGTTTCATTAAGAAAACAACTTAAGTTTCATACTAACTTGACAGGTGCTGAATATAAGCAGATTCATTTCTCAGCTCATCTTGTCTCCGTTTCAGTAGCGTCTTTGCTCGTTGCTGAAGAAGTACGTGTATAGCTAACTCTAGCTCATTAATGTACGTCACCTGAAATATAGTAAACAGTAATCAAGTTTTCAACTAATTAAAATCAAAAAGAAAAACAACAAAAAAGTTTCCAGCAGACTTCCACAGAGCCGTGAAATTACAAGCAAAGTATTATTATAGATTGAAAAGTAACTTCCTGCTCCATGAGTTATTCAGGCTGTTGTGCGTAACTGAAGAATATAAGCCATTGCTTATCATGAGACTACCATAACATTCATACAAAAGCATTCAACAGGCCACTACTGGTGCACTTAGTTTGCCTTCAGAATGCTGCTTAAAATTCAAAAAACTGAAATAAGAGCCATTAAAGGGAATATATTCATTAACATTTATTCTCCTTAAGGTTACAAAAAAACCTCAAAATTCAGTGCAATAAGTTGCATTTGATAACAATATTTAGAAGGCATAACAGGAGTTTACTTTCAGCAAGGCCAAAACTTAGGCAGCTCCTGCCCTTCTCCCAATCTTCCTTCTTCCTTTTAAATACAAGGCTTGCAACCCAAAGCAGTTCAGGAAACAGACACAGCAAGTAACGCAAATGAATCCTTATACAGCTCTGCTAATTCAATCCCAACTTGATGCTAACTCGAAACCCTTATTACTTTTCTCATATAATACTGAGTAGAGACATTTTGAGAGATCTCAAGAGCGAATGTAACCCTCTCTCCCCTCCAACTACAGTACAGTCTGGCTATCACACCTGCAGAAAACTTCATCCAATAATATTGTTTTCATCCAGCAGAAACCAGGTGAGATGATAGCTCAAGTCAGTATACCTATCCTAGTTTGATCATCACTTTAGGTGGGTGAGACTCGGTTTGTTTTCCCTATGTTTTGTTCCCCATTACATTAAAACTTTTAACAGAACTGCGTTTTAACTAGGAGGTGTCCCTTTGTTTCCAAACAAAAAATCGTGCTCTCCCACTGACAAAATATAACTTTATGATCTGAAAATACATATACACACACACACACGTATATGTTTTCTTCTATACATACACACACACACACACCCCTACCTTTTCATTCAAACAGTTTATCAAGTTTTCTACATATGTTTTCATGGCCCGGTAGAATTTGTAATTCATAGACACATCTGAAGACTTTTCTAACTCCTGGACAGACATCTTTGAACTCTCAATGTCCTCCATGTATTTTTCATACTCCCTCTGGTGGGCACGGTGCACATCCTGCAATGATGTTATCCTAAAAGACAAAAATCCAGACAATTAAAGCTTCTGTCAAATTAACAGTTAATGAATCCCAAAGCGTTTTTCTGATTAAAATCATGGAAGAAATCTTTGCCTTTGCTAATAACAGCACTAGCATTTAAATTGACAAGCACTGAAACGTTTAGCCATGAAAATGTTTTCAGAAGTATGGGGTGTGGACAAGCATCATGCTTTGGAGGCTTAAGTGTCTCTTATGTGCCGTTAGCTTTGAAAGTACCACTGACGTTTTATCCTGGTTCCTAGAAGGAAGGAAGCAAGGAAGGAAGGTGGAAGGGAAAAAAAAAAAAGCAGCCAAATTGTGACTGTGGTATCATATTAAATAGAGCCTACACAACATAATCTGGGTAAAACTAAACCTTCAGTCTGTGTTATCCTTATTAATTTAAGTAGCATAGAGAGCAGCAGCTAGCAGCACTTACCATGTGCTGACAACTAAATACAAACCAACTGAGGACTCCTGTTGCAAGTAGGTGATAAAACCAAGCAGCCTACATCTACAGCTGTCATTATCTGTTAGATGAGCAGCACAAGAATGCTTAGGTATTACAACTACGCCTTTTTTCTCCTTACATATGCCAAGTAATTCCAAGACTGTTTACTTTGAGGAAGCCTTTAACATTAACAGAACCAAGAGGCAACTTATTTCACTTTCCTTAAGTAGGGAACAGTTTTCAATGAAAAGAATTCAACTAAGATATTCTTCAACACAACAAACTTTGGCAAAAAGTGCTCTGCCATACCAGAAGTCAAAAAAATCGTTTCAGCAAGTTAAACAAATCTACAGAGCTTACTATTGTCAAGTAGGTTGCCCCTTCCCTTCTTGCTACTTTCCAAATAGGTATCCCATTCTTGATAGTCCTAACAGTCTTATTCTCATTTTTCACATTTGTTTCTGTGCATAAACTCCTACTGCATTTAGCTCATTCCTTTTAGGTGATGACAGCTAAAAATCCTAGAAGGTCCACAAACATATCTAGCACGATTTAGTTGCAGTTTTTTAAATATGGGGGTCAGTGACGTTTTGTACAAAGTAAAGCATACACAGAGAGCTCAATGCAAGCCCACAGCAGGTATTCATGTTTCAGCTGCATAATGTTACCTGTTTAAACTTATCTCAACTGCTGCTTCTCAGCGCTCTGAGAGATGACAGGGGACAGCTTACCCTGGGATGCCTGACCCCAGCTGTCCTTCTTATACACCCCCTTGGAGGTTGTCACCTCCACTATGGGACGCTTCAGCTGCCCATAGACCAATGACCTACGGGGGGGTGGGGGAATCACAGCCTGACACATGAAAATCAAAGCAGCTCCCAGTTTGCCTGAACAGGCTGCAGTGAATCCACTGTTGCTTTAGGAAATATTCACCTATTTTTGCAGCTGGTATAAGAACCATCAGAAGAGGGCTAGGATTATCAACTGTAAGACAGAGCTCCTCTAGCTGTCGTGGTTAAAGTTTTGCTTGCTTGGCAAGCCTAACACTGTACCTACACTCTTTTGCAACACTAGCAAGCACAGAAAGCTGATGCCATTTAAATGAAAATACTGTCTATGGGGCTAGGTGATAGAACATGATAAATCCAAATGCTCCTTTAACAAAGCTACGTAAGAGATTTTTCACATAAGCATGTTAACATGCCATTGCCAGGTAAAGTTAAAAACTTGCAGTATTCTATGGTACCATAGTACTCTCTTAGTATTGCACAACCTAGTGAGCATATTAATGAAGTAACAACCCTAAGAGTCTTCAATAATCAAGGCAAAGACTTTACAAGCTGTCATTTCTCACTCTGTCACAAAACAGAAACTTGGACAACTCAAAAATCAGGTTCATACATACAGTATTTACCTTTCAGTCAGTCGCTTCTTGACAATTTCCAAGTTCACAGGTGGCAGAGAAACAGAGAGATCAAACTTTGGTTTTGCTGGGGGAGACTTATGCAGAGAAGCATCATCACAGATGTCCTGCAAGAATCATAGCTGTTAATTTTTTCATAAGCAAGTCTTCCTTCTGCAACTATACATATCAACAAGACGTATCATCTGAACGTATAACGCATATATTGAAATATATATTTTATATATAAAAACAATACAAAGCAAAAAAGCCTGAATAGAGTCTATATAAACACGTGTAGCACATATACATATCAACAGCACAAAAGAGCCCATAATTAAGGCTACACTCAAGTTGCCCTCTTATTGGTCTGAAAACTTGCACAGCTAGCAGTGACGCATAATGCTTCTATATTGATAACCGAGACCTCATTAGTATTATTTTTCCATTTTAAATAAAATCTTAAGCCACAGCCAAGCAGTAGTAACAACAGTTGTAATGGTATTTTCTTCACATTTTGCTTTTTTAAAACTATTACACTTATGGTAAACTAGCTAAGGTTTTCCAGAAACAAGTGCAGCATGAGGATCTGAGACAAGCTGCAAAACCAACCATACCGGACTTAACGTTCGGCAGCAAGAATATGTACCTTTCTTCTAATCCTCTAACTACTCCCATTTAACAGGCTGCAACTTCTTCCATGGCCATTACACTGTAAAGAACTAGTTACTGAGATTTTCCTAGTTTGAATCAAAGTAGGTGATTCAACCCAGAAACAAAACTTTCAACTCATCAGAAAACACACATTTCATTTTTCCTATATACCAGAAGAAATACGACAGAATCCTGCTCAACTCTGTGAAAAGCGTCCTCGGAGATTTAGCATAATGAAATCATCAGTTCTGTTTCGCAACATGTTAACGTTTGCGGTATTTGAATATTTTTACTTTCAAGGCTCCTTGCATGGCAGTAAAAATCAGTTAAGAGTTTTATTCTCTGCTTTCTCCAGAAAGCCTTCCATCACATGTGGATAGCCACCTCTAAGGTGGACAATAATACCTTTCCTCTGAACAGCCAGAGAAAGATCACAAATTTTCAGTATCACTTTCCCCTATTTCTAATTGCCTCTTCCTTCAAGAATCAGCACATCACTTCCTTAAAGGCTCTCCAATGAGAAGGCAGGAGGAGATACAATAGTACTCCAGAACAAGCTACTTGCCTAGGAGCAAAAAGCAATTTGCAATGGTTAAGAAAATGGATCACCTGAGAGAGTTTGACAGCTTTCTTTATCTGCTGCTCTTCCCACTTCATTTGGGTTTCATCTTCAGTTGATTCATCATCCTCAGACACTGGAAAGTTAAGATCATTATTTACATGCAATTCTATCTTGTATCTAGTTTCCCCACTCCCATACTCTCCTTCTTCCAAAGCAAAATTGTTTTCCGCAGTCATTACTGGGAAATGCTAGTGCACAAAAAGAAGCAGTTGAAAAAATTGCAGATGAAAGATTCCCAATTGAAAGGCAAGGAACACACGAGGAAATGGCTTTTGGAACTCCTAAAACTAGAACCAATACTAAGTCCCCCCACATACTGTTTCCCAGACAGCTACTACTGCAGCACCAAGAAATAAGTTTTTATGCTTCCACTAAAAACACTTCATTTTATTTCTCAAAGCAAAGCTGTATATAATACATGTAAATAAAAGTACAGCTGGACTATAATACTGTTGCACAGTAACATTATATATGGCAAATCCTTGACTGCTTTAAAGCGTAAACTCTAATATAGATAAAAAATATCTTACTAACATTAATTAGAACTGCAGAATGAGCCCGTCGCTACACAGTCCTTATAACATTATGAAAGTAACGAGAACTAGTCTACAAACTCAACTGGTGCTTTGTAAATTCATCTAGATAGAAGAGGAAAAAAAGCTACCGAAAAGGCACTAGTGCTTTGCATGTAATAGGCTTATTCAGTTATGAATGGAGAATTTTTTTAATTTTTAAGAACATCCATAACATCAATGCAGGGAGAGCACTGAGAAGACTGGCCCTGAAGTAGTAGGAAACAGCATTTATAAAAATTACTGAAGTGGGACAGTTCATCTTACACCACAGCAACTTTATCCATATGAACCGTTATCCTTCCTACAAGACAGGCTACTTGTTGTAGCCAACAGCATCAAAGTGTCATTTGGAAAAGGGTTCTCAAATCACCCAGCACTCCCATGTTTACCATTGACATAAACCTGTAGCGCCAGCTGTACCACCTTCTACCAAGGCCCCCGAGAACCAAAACCTTATGCTGCACTCTATTAGCAGCTTGCACATTCTTCAAGGCACCAGTAAAACAAAGCGACCACCACTGGTAGAAATAGCACAAACTCACCCATATGTTCAGTCATCCTCTGCCTGAGAGTTCTCACTTTAGGAGCAAAATCGAGATTCTGAATATCAGTGTCATCTTCACTCTCTAAATCACTGCTTTCTCTTCTCCGAGAGACCCGATGACTGTTTAAAACATCCAACGGAAGGTAATCAGCTTGAGTCCTGGCTAAGTGACGTCTCCTCCGAGCAGCCTCAATGCAAGCTGCACTGGGAATATTGCCTAAACCAAAGAGAAAGAAAAATCTAAGCAAAAGGCTAAAAGCAACACTCAAGTGTTGCTCCTATCGTCAACAATCACCAGAACATAGGCTCATTGTATAATTGGGTGCATGGGGCACCCAAGACACTTTTCTAATAAGTGTAAAATGATTTTGCCATATTGAATATAAGAAGAAGAAAAAATATCCATAAAAATTGTCTCAGTTTAAAAACAAAACCTTTTTTAGAAAAAGAAATTAGCCTGTCCCTCTCTTCTCCATCTCCCCAGAAGAGCAGGGTTACTGATCCTTGATAGCCCAAAGATAAATGTCCACAGAACATAAATGAGATTAATGCATAATCCACTTCAGTTTACACTTTATTAAACAGGGTTTTTCTTTTACTGCCTCTTTTCCAAACTAATCTTTCCTAATTTCTCATCCATATTAGTCCCTGAAATTAACACTGAATTACAACAGGCATGGGCAACCAAACATAAATGTTAATTGTACAAAAAAAAAAAACACTTAAGGTGTGCACATTGTAAGCAGTACCGTTTCTTCATTTTAGCAGTCAAGGTCTCAACATTGTAGTAAGAAAAATGAAAACACGCTACCGATTTTGAGAAAATTACAGTATGGGCAATATTGAAAAGGAAAGTTTGCTACATCTATAATGAACATCATATGTTAATAAATTATCACAACAAACACATAGCATTCATATTCTTGACTATTCATAAACTCTTATTTCATTTAAAACACTTGGAGAGAACCCTCTTGTCGGGGGATGCTCCCAGCTTCCCCTCCCCACCAATCTGGTGCCAGTTACAAGTAGTTTGCGTTCCTGTGCCTCGCACTGCAACTGCAAAGGGGAAGGGGAAGATGTCAAGACTTTGAGATAAGGCCTGCTTGGGCGTCAGGACCTTGAGAAACAAAGCTTCCTCTCACTGCTGGGGCAGGGCTAATTATCGTGGTCTGGAATTACCTCCTTCTTACCCAAGTTAAGCAATCTCTCCTTGGGACCACCGCTGCAAGAGCAAAGCAGTCATTCGCAGTCACTCAAACTCCTTTCTTCAGTGCTGCAGAGTGCTCAAGGCAGCTATTCTGCTGTTGGGGGTGTTCGGCCACCCCCCCACCCCATGACTGTGGGTGCAATCGTCCTAACAACGAGGAGGAGATTTGAACACAGAGGAGAGTCGAACGCTGCAACAGCCAAAAGCTAAGGACTGGGACTGCATGAAGAGAACTACAACTGGCTTAACGACTATTTATACCCTGAAGGGTATAAATAGGTTGGCCCCAGGGGCCATCTTTGGCTCTTTGCAGGTGACAGCAAGTCTGCCAACTTGCAGAACCCCCTCAGGATGGAAATGCCCTCCCGCAGTTAGTTCCCTGGGATTGAGCGTACATTGGCCACTGAGACAATGGTGGCAACCAGAACTGGCTTGCCTAGTTCATTCATTTGGGTAATTACAATTAGTATAAATTAGGTAGCTTTGTCTGTTTACCAAGTAGTAATTGTTAGCATAACTTTTGGCGTAATTAGAAAATAAGAGTTTTAGTTGAGCTAAGTTTCTGTTAATAAGAATTGTTGCTTTGTATTATTTTAACTTGTGGAGTAAATTTTGACCTTGTGAAACAAGTTGTAGAGTCACGCAGTAAATCTCCCTCTCCCCCTTCCTCGCACCACACTATACCCTCACAGTCTGGGACTGTAAGGTAGTTGGTCGTCCTGTGACACCTCTGCCTTTGATGTCTTCACTTCTCTTTAAACCACTTTTAATAGCTGAGCTTTCTCTAGCAGCACATTCCCTGCCTTGTTTTTTTCCTGAAGCACAGTGTTTGGGTTTTACTTCCTTTTAAGCACTTATTCAAAATCACACGTCTACTGCAGAATATCATGCTTGATAGTTAAGAAAATATTCCAAGTATTACGTGAAAGGGATTCGCCTCCTCTAAATTTAACCAGTTATGCATCTAGTACCAGCTAGTAACCTAAATTACCTCTATAATCAATGGGAAAAGATGCAGGGGGATTCAACTTATCTTTACAGGAACGTCAAAACACGTGCAAGGAAATGTACTTTCGGAGAGTAACTGTCACTCTTCCTCCACAAGAGGAGCAGCCTTGATTCAGCACAAATCAGATGCCTACCTCCACATATATCAAACGAAAAAATTCATATAACTATTTTTAAAAGGAAATCCCAGAAACAAACCTTCCGATAAATCCTTCCTTCTCTGTGGAGGGCTGGATTCAGTTTCTGAGTCTGAGCTGCTGTAGTCCTCACTAAGTGAAGAATAATTTTCATCTTCCTCCTCTCCTTCATGAGCGCCTTTAGTGTTGCCAGTTCTAGGCCCCAACTGACAGACTTCTGTATCAAGGGAGAAAAAATAAGACTCGTGACTTCAGCTGCCAGAAGCTGATGTGTCATAACTGGTTATTAGTAACTACTCAGACCAGGATGCAAAGACTAGTTGCTCACCAGTATCTACCCATCCTAATCAAAACACATCAAATCTTTGCATATTCTAAGCTGGTTACTTACAGGTCAGATTACCTGGAATCTGTGTAAGACCTGAACTAGTGTGACCTTCTGAGGGACAGGGCACGTTTACCCTAAGCACGTTTACATGCACAGAAGAAATTATACAAGCTACCAGATGACAACTGGTTAATGCTCTGATAACTCACGGCATGTTTGGGTTCATCTCTTGACTTTATGAATTGTATTTAGAAGGCATTTTTAATAAGGAACCTTCTTTTAAAGTATTATGCTATAAATCATTACCAGAGAGTCATTGTTGAATTATGAAGTTTTAGGCACTTGACTCCAATTACCTTACATTTCTCAAAAAAAAAAAAAAAAAAAAGATTTCTCTTCATCTGTTACTACAGCTTCAATCAATCACCAGACTACCAAACAGAATGGGCCACCTGCTAAAATAGAGTATGACATGTACTTTTATAAGAAGTTACTGGAAAAAAAAAATTTATCATCTCATCTGAATCACAATCTCTACAGAAATTAATCACAATCTCTACAGAAATTATTTCTTATCTTGAGCTAATTTATTTTTATCTAGCAGTAGCATCAGGGCGTATCTGTGAATTGACAAGAGGTGTCAACAGCGTAAATACAGTGGAAAGAACTTTTGAACCGCATTTGTAAAACACAAGCCTCAAAATACTCCCCCAGGAAATGTACTATAGTTCAACTACACTTAGACTTTAGTTCAGTTAGGGCACCTGAACTTGGACTGTACAGTATTTCAACACTTCAATTGACTAACAGCAAACAGTTTAACAACAGGAAGTTAAGGATTTATATTAAATTCCACCCACTAAATTCATATTTTCTCTTCATCGAGTTCAACTGACAGAAAAGAGACATCTAACAGCAGTAGTTGTACATCACCCTCACTTAGTGATTTCAAAAATATAATTTTCATATACCAATTGAGAAAATCCCTTTTAGCTGAAAAAGTACTTACTTTCACGTTCCTCAACTTCTCTCTGTGGGGATGGTAAGCGTTCCTTTTTCTGGATTCTAAAGGTTACTTCATTGAAGGATGGCTTTTTAATTTTAAAAAGTTCTTCATCACCTTTCCAGATAAAATAAAGTAATCCAGATGAGCATATTTATAAAGCAAAGCCACAGCTCTCAAAAACTTAATTTGCTGCTCTGCATTTACATAAATTTTCACATAACCTCTATGTGCACACTTGGCTTGTGCTTTTTGAAGCTCTGAGTGCACTAAGTCTAACTAGTTCTAGGGTTTTATCATTCACGATCCACCATTTCCAAATTCAAAGCTATGTAGCTCAGCCTCCTCAATGCTGCAACACCAGAATGCTAAACGTGCAATTTTTCTTTATAGTTTGTGTCAAACGTAAACAACGTCCATAAACTGCCCAAATCTGCCTTGTGTCATCAGCCACATAAGCAGCAGCACAGAGGAGTCAGTTAAACATTCATGCCTTAGTTATTTAAGCATGCTTATCGTCAACTACACTAGTCGTGATATCATATGCTAGTTGTTTTCTCTAGTTACAGTTTCTTCCCGCTTAAAGGCTGCTCTAAGCATCTTTCAAACGCGTCTCAGCCAAAAAACAGACAATTCCTCCTCTCCAGAGCACTTGTACAGGCGTTTCTTTCAAAAACCGTCCCATCCCGAATACATTATTCCTACTCCTACCCACAGAGAAAGAAGGTGGAAGGATGATTTTCGCCAGACAGCGAGTGAGCACAGCCCCCAGTGCCTGGCTCGGAGCTCCGTGAGGCAGGAGACCTCCCTCCCCTGTGAGGGCACTGGGGGCGCGGCCGCGCTGGCTCGCGCCCTCA